CGAGTTTTTTTCAACCATCGTAGCTAGAAAGTTTTCTAATTCAAAAGATAAACTATATATGGAAGAAGAATGGTGAAATAACATTTTGGAAATTAAGTTAGAGTAAAGCAATGTTTTCATCATCTAAGAACACACTAAAACCAAAACATTTGATCTTTTAATAATGCACTGTAAACTTTCTAAACTAAAAGTCATTTCAGTACATGTACATCATTTTACCTATAATGTTTTGGTCTAGATTTCACAGAAAAACAACCATGCTGAACATCAAATATATCCAAAAGAAGTAATTATTTCAAAAAAAAAAATCGATCTATATTTCTAGCACTGTTTCATGGCCATAACTCATTGTAGACAAGACATCACATACAAGTATACAGGAATGAAGATAAAAGTTTATTTATAGAAAAATAAAGGTTCATTTTGTTTCAAGGTAAATACAACTTTAATTCAGGTTTACTTAATACTCTTAGCACTAATAGTGTGTTTTGCAGCATAATTTGTACATGCTCTTTCCTTCCAAAGAAATGACTCAAATAAACTGATTTTTGTTTAAGTCTCATTATCAATTTTTTTTTATACAAGACATATCCTTAATTAATATAATCCAGTGTTAATGCCTATATAGTAATCTACAACAAATGGAGGTAATTAATAAAATCCAGTGTTAATGCCTATATACTAATCTCCAACAAATGGAGGTAATTAATATAATCCAGTGTTAATGCCTATATAGTAGTATCTAATGAGGGGAGATAACCCGGTGTTTATGTATATGATAAAATTAGTCCTTGTGACTTTTGCACCTGCTCTCTTCTTCTGGTCATCATGATGTAAAGACTAGCATTGCAACACATACTATTGGGTTATAACAAACAATTCAGTCTGTTGTTACCCAATTAAGACAGTGAAATGAATTCAATAAACAGTACGATTTTCCTAAAAGTCTCATTATCAACTTAAAACATTATCCAACAAGAGGAGATAATCCAGTATTATACCTGCATGGTATTATTAAACGAGCCAATGTAATCCTATGTTGATGTCTATACTTATGTTTATATATGTTATCCAACGAGGGGAGGTAACCCAGTGTTAATGTCTAGCAACAAGAAATCACATCGTTATAATGTATAATGTACAGTTTATAAATGTGAACTATAAACTAAATGCTGTGTTAGAATATTCCAGGATTGTCTCTTAAAGTAAAAGCTGTCTTTGATCCTCTCTGAAATCCTGACTACAATAAATGCTGTACTGAACCATTCTAAAGACATTGATGATGATGTGTTTTATTTGTCACTAAAGATTAAAGTTTCCATCTTTCAAATCCTTTTCTATCCGCAGGAATGCCTGCTTCTTCTCCTTCTGTAAACCAAAGAAAACATAGCATCTGAATGAAGTTATCATATTAAACAGGGAACAAGAGGCCCAATGGGCCTGCATCGCTCACCTGGCATAAATATCACACTTGTAATCTTTAAAGTGGACTAAAATACAGTTACAGGCAGAATATCAGTGTTTGATTTATACGAACCTATTAAAAGATTTAAACATTTGACGACTGTGACCTTGAATGTCGAACAAGGTCATTAGGTTGAACAGAGTTGATAGTCTTCTAACCCAGCATGCTTCTGGCAAAATATCATTACCCTGGACCTTTTGGTTATACAGAACAAATCATTTAAAGATTTAAACATATATTGACCACTGTGACCTTGAATATGGGCGAAGGTCATTCACTTGGTAGTCCTTCATCCCAGCATGTTAATGGCTAAATATCATCACCCTTGGCCTTTTGCTTTTTAAGAAAAAGTCTTTTAATTATTTTTTTTTATATATTTGACCCCTGTGACCTTGAATATATGTCAAGGTCATTCATTTGAACAAATTTGGTAGTCCTTCATCCGAGCATGTTACTGGCAAAATATCATCACCTTATACCTCTTGGTTATTCAGAAGAAGTTGTTAAATGGTTTTTTGCTTTGGACAAACTCGGTAGTTCTTTATTCCAGCATGCTACTGGCCAAATATCATCATCATCCTATGCATTTTGGTTATTCAGAAGAAGTTGTATTACAGGTTTTTAACATATTTGATCGCTGTGACCTTGAAAAAAGGTCAAGGTCATTCATTTGAACAAACTTGGTAGCCTTTCAATCCAGCATGCTACAGGCCCAATATCAGAATCTTGGGCCGTTTGGTTATTGAGGAGAAATTGTTTAATAGTAAAATATTGACGCCAGGCGACGGACGGATGACGGACGGACGGACGACGGACGCCGCGCCATGGCATAAGCTCACTTGCTAAAAACATATATCTTAATTTTTTTTTTGAAATGAAAAATGAATATCAGACAACGTAGAGAGTAAAACTAGAGTTGTTTTCACTGATGAATTAAGAATTTACTGTATCACCCTGAAACTCCATACAAAAAACTTATTTCCACTTGCTGTTCCGCCATAGAAGAAGAACTAATTTGGCCATATTGAGTATCCCAGATAACTTGGAGCTCAAGAAAGTTTAGTATGATCATGAGTACCCAAGGTTTGAGGGTAAGAATCTATTGGAGTACTATTGGAATATATTACTCCCCAAAACAGGAATGAGATAAAAAGATTAATGACTCACCTTTAGTCCCCCTTCAAGGTTTGAAGTTTTAATTAATCCCTTAATGACGTAATTAAATCCATACAAGTCATTATCCTTCCTGGTCCGAACTTGCAGCTCGCTGTAAAAATAATGAGGAAAGGAAATAAAATAAGATAAAAGAGGACACAAACAATATCTACGAAACTCATGATAAAAATAAATACCAAAACACAGAAGTAAAAATAAAAGCAAAAATATTAAACTAGTTTGGTCCTGTATGCTTTTACAGTTTTATTGTCCAAAGAGTGAAATTAATGTAGGAAACTTAAGTAATTTTTACCGTGCTGAGAGAACTTTTAACAAAAACCGATTATGAACTTGACTGCAATTTTTAATGTACCCTGCAATCTTTTAAGTCTCTTCTAGATAGAGGCTGAATGTTTTAAATAACATTTTTATCATTGTGTATACAACACAGTCATTTATCTTGTTAAACGTATGCCCTGTCTGTGATACTCTTTAATCTGTGCTGTTTTAACAGAGATCTGTGATCATTGTTATCATTTCTGTAAGTGAACCACCGGGTCAATTTTAATTTAATCTAATTCATAGATTATTCTAAATGGAAAACGTTTTTAAAACATGAACCACCTCATTTGATGGAAATAGAGTAAATTCTAAATCACACCAAGAAATGATGCTAAATCCAAAGTTACTGAAGTGTAAATATTTGTCACAGTGACCTACATTTGATAAATTGTTGAAGCAATTCTCACTGTGTATCCATACGAAATAAAATTTGAGACAGGACTGATAAATACTTCCAGAGAAATAGCGATAACAATCTTCATCAGTCAAAATCTAAATCTATCATGGCTGCTTGGCAACTATATTGTTCTTCAGATCAGTCTCAAAATACAAACATAGACACAGGGGAACCTGCATTACATAGAAGAAGAAAAAAATAAGAAACAATTGTCCAGTATTTCCCTGAGAAAACGTGACAATAATAAATGTTTAAGGATGGATGAGAGAGCACAGATGAAATGCTACATCAACATTCCACCGTCATAACCATCTGATGAGGCGAAGTTTTATCATTCAGGTAAATGAAGGTAAAGTATGTTAGATAAAAAGTCAGGAAATTAAACATGCTTGACAAAAAAGGTCAAAGACAGGTCAGAGGACAGACTCACCTTTGTGCCTCATCAAAAGTGACGCTAAAAGCCAGTTTTGTAAAATCACCAAGGTCTTTCCTCTCTATCTTGAACCTTCCATAATCCTTTTTGTCTTCCACAATAGCAACTGTCATCAAATACCAACAACAGGTAATATTCAATGAAATTAATATACATTTTCTATAAAGAAGTGCCAATATAACACACCAGTCATTTAAATGAATCTTTACGTTAAGATGGTGAGTCTTTATTACAGAAGTTACGCTGATTTATGAATGTTACATAAATATATTATGCTGAATAAAGATGAAAAGAAGTTGGAATATTTTCGTATCAAGGCTTTCATAACATGACTAATAGTCTATGATATACTTTTACTGAAGTTGACCAGAATTTGAGGAGCTGGTGAAAAAGATGAAATAATAAAATGTTACCTACTGTCAATCAGGATTATATTCATTATATTTTAAGAGAAAAATTCTCATTTTACCTCACTTTGTGATACTTAGTTCCTAACCAAGTAATTAAGCATAAGGAACAGGTGGGAACATCTTGATGGACTAATAAGCAAAATGCCTAAAGTACATAATGATGTCACAAATGCATTTTAACAGTTTTTTCATGCTTCCATTTGTTGTGAGGGATATTCTCAGGTTGACTCAGGGCACTGTCACCCTATAATAAATGTGATAAATCTCTAATATTGGTAAATCATTTTATGATTTAGAATGATTTTTTTATATCAGCTGATCCATCATTAATTACCATCAAGTAAAAGTTTTTGGTCAATCTGGTCTAATTTACAGACACTTACATTGAAGAGCCGAGTAATCTCCCTGCCAGTTAGATGCCATGTTTTTCAAACCTGTTGTACCTGGCTCACTGCTGTAGAAGACTTTTCCTTTAGAAATAGGTTACCTATTTCAAACAAAACAAAAAGGTTGGATCAATTATGAATTAATAATCAAGAAGGGCAGATGTGTCAGGCTTTAAAATGCCAACAACACTAAACGTTAACTGTGTGGTATACTGAAACACTAACCACCTTCTTCATATCAGTTGTCAAAAATTAACTACATTCCAAACGATATTACGCAATCTTTCCTCCCTTTTCCTTATAAAGAATGTATGAATTTTGCTTTTGAGTTTATGTTTGTCTTGTTAGAAAGATTCTCAAAGGAAAAAATTGAAATGAGACTGTGATGTGGTAGAATTAATAAATTATTTCCTGTGTGACCCGTACAAAAGCCAAACTGTTAGTCAGAGTTGCCAGTGCTTTGTCTTGTACTCCTGGACTCATCAGGTTACTAGGCTCCAAATGGAATTATCTATACAACAAGATGCCCTGTATCGCTCACCTGTATATGTTTAAAGTACTTGATATGAGGTAAAGATATAGCACTCCATGGTAGTTACTGTATTTACATATAATTACATTCTGTATGCTTTGACCCGTTGACCAAAATGAATTTCATTTTTTGCATAACACATATAACCTCATCACTGCGTATTGATATATTACAATGACGTAGTACAGGGGGTAGTTGGCGACCGGTAGACGATTGGAGAATTCAAAGCACTTAAAAAATGTTAATAAATTCACTAACACGATTCATGGAATATATCCAGAAAGCTAATGTTGTTATGACCTCATGAATGTTGAAAAAATAAATTTCATTCCTTAAATGAAATTTCAAGAAGATCCATCCAGTACTTCAAATGTCAAAATCCAAGATGGCGTCCTGGTGGCCAAGTTGTTTGAATGAACACATCCTAATAGTAACAGGCACTTCTAGATAACTTGATAGACAAAATTAGGATAAAATCCCTTTATCTTTTACAGTAGAAAAAAGATTTAAAAATTTAACCTCTATTATCCCTATTGGGCCTCTCTCCTCTGCCCCTAGGGGGCCATGCCCACCGTTTATAGAAATGAGAGTGCCCTTTGACATAAGGATGGTCCAGACCAAATTGGGATGAAATCCCTTAATCCTTATGGTAGAAAAAGAATTTTAAATGTTAACCTCTATTTCCCCTATTAGCCCCAACCCTCTGCCCCCAGGGGGACCACACCCACGTTTATAAAAAATTGACTGCCCTTGGCCCAAAGATGATCCAAACCAAATTGAATTTAAAACCACTTCGCCGTTCAGGACTAGTATCGTTTTAAAGGAGAAGTTGATGGATGGACGGATGACGGTGGATGCGCCATGGCATAAGCTCACTTGCCCTTCGAGCAGGTGAGCTAAATTGCATCAGTATTTTGTTCTCATTTGAGATTATGTAAATCAATTAAATATTTAATAATAATTAAACAGGAAATAAGAAGTGTTTCCACCAGGAATCAAATCAGCCCCCACCTCACCCTCCCAGCTATCCAATCGGCCGTTCTTACAATGGTGCTAAAAGGAAATAAGTTCCTTGTAGCAGGATGTAATTGAGAAGCGTAATCATTTTTTAAATCTTTAATACTACAACTTCCTTATATATAATATGTGTGTCCAAGGATTTATATTTATTTTTATGTACCAAGCACCTGCCAGTGGATATAACTCATTAACAGGACCCACAGGGTCACGCAACTACTATCAATAGTGATCTTATATGTGCCCCTATCCAATAACGTACCTAGCGGTTGAAGGTCAAACAAGTAGTAACAAGATCAATAATGACAATGTTAATAGTTGCGTTGTGCAGGACCTGTCTTTACTCCCTTATAAAAACAAACTGAACCCTTCTCATAGCATATCACTAAAACAATTGCTTCATGCACGCAAGCGTTTGCAGTTTAAATCTTGTAAACCTGTGGAGTAGAAGTCCCTGGTCAAAGTGTCGAACCGAAAACAGGACGATAAACAACGAAACGAAACCGGAAAACAAAATTATAAACTAAAAGATGGAACGGTATGCAATTTTTTATCCGGATTGCAGTAAATGTCGTTCTGAAGAAAGAAAACACATCAATACATATGGCTACATACTGTATGTACAATGACAATGGCATTTATAGTTTCCAATTGTGTTATTAAAAGTCTCAGTGGTAAGACCACAATGTTGAACTCCATTTGAAGTTGCATGTGAAATATTTTGTTTTTAAATTATACCGTTCAGAAATAAACAAGAGGAATGAAACATCAACGCTCGTCAATACACAAACGACCAAACTGGACTGAAAAGTCGATTTAAATAAAAACAAAATGCATACACTAAGCGTGACGAAACTTGATCATGACCAACCTAAATCAAAAGAATACGAATAAGAAGGGATCCCGCTCGGAGCAATACAACAGTGAAGAACTAGTGAAAAAATTCACTGATGTTTCGACGGGTGAGATATTCCTGCATGTTGCATGTGTAGTTTCATGTATTACATTTTGTAAACGTTTCAAAAAATCCCATTGCATATTTTGACGGGAGACATCGTGATGGGGTCACACTTGATACAGTCCAATTTTAATATTAATAGTTTGATATTATTTAAGGAGGGAAGGCGGAGGCACAATCGGCGCCAACGAAAATCAGAGAAAAGGATTTTGTTTGTATGTTGTATAATATTTTGGAAGAAAAAGTACTCTAGTTACCATTGTACATCTCCTGTCCATTGCCCTTGTTTAAGAAAGAATACGTACTATCGCAGTGTGCACAAGACCGTTGTTCGAACTCGAAATCTATCGAACCAGGGCAGAATGTAATCAAAGAAAGTGTTGTTTGTATACCCCTGGGGAAGTTCATTGTACAATGATAATAAGAACATGTGTTCAGGAAGGGTAAGAGTCTTCTGCTTCCAACGATCGGTCCAGTCCAGTTCCGCTACATTACAAACAAAACGTGTCAAGCGAAACATGTCCACAAAACTGATTTATAATAACTGTTATATACATACACAGATTACGCTAGATTTCAATAAGCCAGCCAACATGTTCTGACGTTGCATAGTTACGAACGACTACGACTTCCGAGCTATTTCGTCTCAATGAATGAAAATATTGAGTCTTATTGGTAACACTAAGGGCTGATCTGCCCCTCTCATTGCAGTAATGGTTTGATAAACACATTTACAAATAAAATGATAAATAAAATATGTGAATTGAAAACTTTGCCTCAAATTTGCATTTCCTGGGGTACTGTTTCGATTTGAAGGCTAAAATCGGTTGTTCTATGGTAACTTATTTAATCAATCATAACAAATTACTCAAATCGATACGAACGAAAAAATGCATTTACCCTCCAATGAATACATATCTCTACAATAAAAATATAAATGTCCGTTGTTATTTTGACGTTTAATATATTCGTTGGAAAATATTCAAATAATTCTACGCTATGTCCCTGTCTTGCTCATGAGAAATATATTCGTTTAAACTAAACTTTTAAAGAAGCTTCAAACAGATGGAACTTCCCATTTCTCTCGTTAATTCTGATAATAAATAGTAACATTTGATGTCATTGCTTCAGCAGATATTATTTTTTTGCAGTTTGTAGTTCTACGTATTGAATAAACGTCAGTTTTATGTATAGCACTGGCCAACGTAAATATATTGTTCAGAGACTTTGCCTGTAATTGTTTATTTGACTCTTGAGCAGAATTGTGTCGCCCTGGTAAAAAGAAAAGAATAGGCATCGCAGTGACTGGTCGTATCCGGAGTGAAAAGATATATCTTTATTTTTAAATACACTTTCTATTTTAAGTTTTTACCTTGTTTGGATAAGATCACTAGTATACATTTAAGCATTGATCTGGTCCGGGTACCGTGAAACCTATGATCATATTACTTTCAGATGATATTCATAGGCAATGTGAATGCAAACTGGACAGGCTTTTATCAATAAATGACAAATGAAGGCAATTCAGGGCTTAAAGTTACAGTGTACTGCTTTCAAAATAAATCTGGACTTGTTTCGTTTTGACAAGTAAACTAATTAATGTGCTTGCTGTTTCTCTTCAGATTATTTGTGCCTTTTCAGATTTTTGGTTGTAAAATTAAAACCAAGTTTGAGCGAGACACAGCTTACAGTAAGTATACCCCAGGGAAACCTGGTCTTCTGATGTGCATCATGTATGTCAATGACATACCACTTAGTGTCAATTAATGTAGTTTGCATATATACATTTGTACGCTGATGAAACATTATTATCTATAGAAAGTTTGTTGCAAATGTTATAATAATGCCCAAACATAGCCAAGAAAAATGGAAATCAGTTTTTGAGATGGATGAGGATTTCAACTCGGGAGATATTTATATGAATGCATTAAACTGTACAATGGAAACAAAATTACAAACTTTCCAATACAAAATCAATCATAGGATTCTACCAACTAATAAAGAGTTAGTAAAAATGAAATCAATTATGTACATTCTGTAACAGAGAAACAAAAACATTGGAACCCAATTTTACTCAATGCTATTATGCACAGAGATTATTGGATGATTTTAATGTTTGGTATACTGAGCATGATGATAGACAGCCCTATATTGATTTTAAAGATATAGATATTCTTTTTGGAAATTCAAAGATTGGACTATTATTAAACCATTTTCTGGTAATAATAAAACATCATATATACTGTAGCCGCATTAAAGACTACATTCCAAATTTTGAAATGTGTAATATTATTTTTGCACATTCAATGAAAGTAGAGAAGTTTATTGCGATGAAAAGTAAATTTCTATTATCCTTCCAAAATAAATGGGGTTAATTCGAACAATTTTTAACAATAAAAACCTGAATTCATTATTATTTTAAATATTACTTACATGTTGTTGTTTTTTTAATAAAGGTTCTCTCCCCTTATTAGTTTGAAATGTTTGCTTCCCTCGCATGCTCATTAGTGATATATCCGGTGCCTAGCTGGCCAATCAGGGGGTTCCCCTCCTTCCTGCCTCTTATGTGTCATGTCTCAGTACATTTACTAAGTATTATATAATATCTCTATATATTATATTATATGACTATTTAAAACCCTGTTTTAAGTAAGTCCGTCAGCAGTCGACACGTATCATAGAAGACATATAGTAATATTTGTTATATACCTTAGTATATATAATCACAGTATTACTATTATTATATTATATATGTTATTATATCATATATATATTATGAAGGAGAAAACTTCAAAATGTATGAATACATAGATGAAATGAGTGAATGAGTGTAAACAAAGAGATAATTAATGGAAATAATAAATGTACGAATGAATGTAAACAAGGAATAAATGTAAAATGAAGGATGTTATGAAAAGAAATCAATGAAAGAATAAGTAAACAATTTGTAAGGATATTTAATCAAGGGCCCCAACTCTGGCAGTATTCCAAAAATGTTGTAGGGTAATAAAAGAAAAGGTATTGACATTGTCCTTAACCATCCCTGAAAACCCTGTTTTAAGTAAGTCCGTCAGCAGTCGACACGTATCATGGGAGACATTATAAGAGAAGGAGTAATGCTTCTTATCAACATATCTTCTTTAGTCTCAATAACTTGCTACAATATAGACACAGGAGCATGTCAACTCACCTTGTCATATACCTTAGTATAGTCACAGTATTACTTATCAGGTGAAGCCACAGATTTACGAACGTTCTTTAACTGAAGAAGATTTTTCACCTTAATTCTCATTGGTGAGCACTGCTTGAGTTATGAAAACTTCCTTAGTTTTTTGTCGCAATGTTAACAAATGGTATGGTTTGGGAACGAATCTGGGGTCTGTATGTATGACAGTATTTTATCAGACAATAAGCCCATGCCTGGTAATAAGCCCAACCGTATCTATTGCAGTTCAGTAGAAATTCCAACAAATGCAATTATATTATCCTGTAGTAACCTCACTTTGTGCCCCCATCCCCCGCTTATTAATACGAGTACGTCAGGTACGTTGTGAGATTGATATCATAGTCGCTATGAAAATATTAGCATGTTTCAAAGACGTCCAGCCTGGAAGGTGTAAACAAAAATGTGGAAGTCTTATTCAAATTTTTATTAACTATATCTGCATAACATCCTCTAACAAATGCTATACACAAATACCACACATAATAAAAACTAAAACAAAATACATTGAATATAGAGTGTTGTTGCCAAACCTAAAGTGAATAATGAAAAAAACAATATTTCAGATATAAGTATAAAAAGTATAAATCAAACAATATTTTCTGTTGGCTAGCAGACATTGCAATACCAAATAAGGTCTTTTATATCCATACAAAACCTGACAACTTTAAAACACAAGGAATTAAATGATCCCTTACTTAAATTAAGTACAAAATATTAATGTAAATTAAAAAAAATCATGTGAATGACATTCATCTCAATAAAAAAATTGTAAATGGAAGTGATGTCTGTTTATACAACAGTACAGTAAAGTTTAGAAGAAAAAAATAATATACATACATGAATGTAATGTTTGATATAGAGTAACATTAAACAATATAACCATGAACATTTCAGCAGTAACAGTACACAACAAAGACATTCTATCATCTACGACCAGGATCGATAACAGTAGTAGAAGCTGATGTTGATTTTCTAATTTTGATTGAGATTGAATTTGAGCGGTTATTGTGGTGCATGAAATTTTCTAATTTTGATTGAGATTGAATTTGGGCGGTTATTGATGTGTAGTTTTGTTTGAAAATCGAAGGATTCCGTCAATGTAAACCAAGTGTTTTTATATGTCATCTCTGCTTGGATGACCACATTAAAACTCTACTACAATATCAATACATGCATAGGTATTGAATTCTGCCACAAACATATTTTAGTTCTGCTTTTCGAACAATTTCATTGTTTTATTTTAATGCAATATCGTAGCTAGTCAGCAGTCTTACAAACTACTATAGGACGTAAAACTATTTATCTGTATTAAATACAAGGAAATTTCGTTTACGAGAAAACACATAAATCCACAAATGTTATGAATTTGTCGAGTTTTTTTCAACCATCGTAGCTAGAAAGTTCTCTAATTCAAAAGATAAACTATACATGGAAGAAGAATGGTAAAATTACATTTTGGAAATTAGGTTAGAGTAAAGCAATGTTTTCATCATCTAAGTACACACTAAAACCAAAACATTTGATCTTTTAATAATGCACTGTAAACTTTCTAAACTAAAAGTCATTTCAGTACATCATTTTACCTATAATGTTTTGGTTTAGATTTCACAGAAAAACAACCATGCTGAACATCAAATATATCCAAAAGAAGTAATTATTTCAAAAAATTAATAATAATATATTCCAGTGTTAATGCCTATATAGTTATCTACAACAAATGGAGGTTATTAATAAATTCCAGTGTTAGTGCTTATATAGTAATCTCCAACAAATAGAGGTAATTAATATAATCCAGTGTTAATGCCTATATAGTAGTATCTAATGGGGGGAGATAACCCGGTGTTAATGTAAATGATAAAATTAGTCCTTGTGACTTTTGCAGTATAATTTGTACCTGCTCTCTTCTTCTGGTCATCATAATATAAAGACTAGCATTGCAACACATACTATTGGGTTATAACAAACAATTCAGTCTGTTGTTACCCAATTAAGACAGTGAAATGAATTCAATAAACAGTACGATTTTTCTAAAAGTCTCATTATCAACTTAAAACATTATCCAACAAGAGGAGATAATCCAGTATTATCCCTGCATGTTATTATTAAACGAGCCAATGTAATCCTATGTTGATGTCTATAATTATGTTCATATATGTTATCCAACGAGGGGAGGTAATCCAGTGTTAATGTCTAGCAACAAGAAATCACATCGTTATAATGTATAATGTACAGTTTATAAATGTGAACTATAAACTAAATGCTGTGTTAGAATATTCCAGGATTGTCTCTTAAAGTAAAAGCTGTCTTTGATCCTCTCTGAAATCCTGATTACAATAAATGCTGTACTCAACCATTCTAAAGGCATTGATGATGATGTGTTTTATTTGTCACTAAAGATTAAAGTTTCCATCTTTCAAATCCTTTTCTATCCGCAGGAATGCCTGCTTCTTCTCCTTCTGTAAACCAAAGAAAACATAGCATCTGAATGAAGTTATCATATTAAACAGGGAACAATAGGCCCAATGGGCCTGCATTGCTCACCTGGTATAAATATCACACTTGTAATCTTTAAAGTGGACTAAAATACAGCTACAGGCAGATTTCAGTGTTAAAATATTTAAACATATGACGCCTGTGACCTTGAATGTCGAACAAGGTCATTAGGTTGAACAGAGTTTATAGTCTTCCAACCCAGCATGCTTCTGGCAAAATATCATTACCCTTGACCTTTTGGTTATACAGAACAAATCATTTACAGATTTAAACATATCTTGACCACTGTGACCTTGAATATGGGCGAAGGTCATTCACTTGGTAGTGCATCATCCCAGCATGTTAATGGCTAAATATCATCACCCTTGGCCTTTTGCTTTTTAAGAAAAAGTCTTTTAAAGTTTTTTAACATATTTGACCCCTGTGACCCTGAAAGAAAGTCAAGGTCATTCATTTGAACAAACTTGGTAGCCTTTCAATCCAGCATGCTACAGGCCCAATATCAGTTCCTGAGCCGTTTGGTTATTCAGGAGAAATTGTATCACCCTGAAACTCCATACAAAAACTTATTTCCACTTGCAGTTCCGCCATACAAGAAGAACTAATTTGGCCATATTGAATATCCCAGATAACTTGGAGCTCAAGAAAGTTTAGTATCACCGTGAGTACCCAAGGTTTGAGATTAAGAATCTATTGGAGTACTATTGGAATATATTACTCCCCAAAACAGGAATGAGATAAAAAGATTAATGACTCACCTTTAGTCCCCCTTCAAGGTTTGAAGTTTTAATTAATCCTTTAATGACGTAATTAAATCCATACAAGTCATTATCCTTCCTGGTCCGAACTCGCAGCTCGCTGTAAAAAATAATGAGAAAAGGAAATAAAATAAGATAAAAGAGGACACAAACAATATCTACGAAACTCATGATAAAAATATATACCAAAACATACAAGTAGAAATTAAAGCAAAAATATTAAACTAGTTTAGTCCTGTATGCTTTTACAGTTTTATTGTCCAAAGAGTGAAATTAATGTAGGAAACTAAAGTAATTTTTACCTTGCTGGGAAAACTTTTAACAAAAACGATCATGAACTTGACTGCAATTTTTAATGTACCCTGCAATCTTTTAAGTCTCTTCTAGCTAAAAGCTGAATGTTTAAATAACATTTTTTTTATCATTGTGTATACAACACAGTCCTTTATCTTGTTAAATGTATGCCCTGTCTGTGATACTCTTTAATCTGTGCTGTTTTAACAGAAATCTGTGATCATTGTTATCATTTCTGTAAGTAATACACCGGGTCAATTTTAATTTAATTTAAATCAAAGATTATTCTAAATGGAAAACGTTTTTAAAACATGCACCACCTCATTTGATGGAAATAGAGTAAATTCTAAGTCACACCAAGAAATGATGCTAAATCCAAAGTTACTGAAGTGTTAATATTGGTCACAGTGACCTACATTTGATAAATTGTTGAAGCAATTATCACTGTGTATCCATACGAAATAAAATTTGAGACAGGACTGATAAGTACTTCCAGAGAAATAGCGATAACAATCTTCATCAGTCAAAATCTAAATCTATCATGGCTGCTTGGCAACTATATTGTTCTTCAGATCAGTCTCAAAATAAAAACATAGACACAGGGAAACCTGCATTACATAGAAGAAGAAAAATAAGAAAAAATTGTCGAGTATTTCCCTGAGAAAACGTGACAATAATAAATGTTTAAGGATGGATGAGAGAGCATAGATGAAATGCTACATCAACATTCCACCATCATAGCCATCTGATGAGGCGAAGTTTTATCATTCAGGTAAATGAAGGTAAAGTATGTTAGATAAAAAGTCAGGAAATTAAACATGCTAGACAAAAAAGGTCAAAGACAGGTCAGAGGACAGACTCACCTTTGTGCCTCATCAAAAGTGACGCTAAAAGCCAGTTTTGTAAAATCACCAAGGTCTTTCCTCTCTATCTTGAACTTTCCATAATCCTTTTTGTCTTCCACAATAGCAACTGTCATTAAAAACCAACAACAGGTAATATTCAGTGAAATTAATATACATTTTCTATAAAGAAGTGTCAATATAACACACCAGTCATTTAAATGAATCTTAACGTTAAGATGGCGAGTCTTTATTACAGAAATTAGGCTGATTTATGAATGTTACATAAATATATAATGCCGAATAAAGATGAAAAGAAGTTGGAATATTTTCGTATCAAGGGTTTCGTAACATGACTAATAGTCTATTATATACTTTTACTGAAGTTGACCAGAATTTGAGGAACTGGCGAAAAAGATGAAATAATAAAATGTTCCCTACTGTCAAACAGGATTATATTCATTATATTTTAAGAGATAATTTCTCATTTTACCTTACTTTGTGATACTTAGTTTCTAACCAAGTAATTAAACATAAGGAACAGGTGGGAACATCTTGATTGACTAATTGGCAAATTGCCTAAAGTACACAATGATGTCACAAATGCATTTTAAAAGTTTTTTCATGCTTCCATTTGTTGTGAGGGATATTCTCAGGTTGACTCAGGGCACTGTCACCCTATAATAAATGTGATAAATCTCTAATATTGGTAAATCATTTTATGATTTAGAATGATTTATTTATATCGGCTGATCCATCATTAATTACCATCAAGTACAAGTACAAACACTTACATTGAAGAGCCGAGTATTCTTCCTCGCAGCTGGATGCCATGTTTTTCAAACCTGTTGTAACTGGCTCACTGCTGTAGAAGACTCTTCCTTTAGAAATAGCTTACCTATTTCAAACCAAACAAAAATGTTGGATCAATTATGAATTAGTAATCAAGAAGGGCAGATGTGTCAGGCTATACACTTTATATCAGTTGTCAAAAATTAACTACATTCCAAACGATATTACTCAATCTTTCCTCCGTTTTCCTTATAAAGAATGTATGAATTTTGCTTTTGATTAAATGTTTGTCTTGTTAGGAAGATTCTCAAAGGAAAAAAAATGAAATGAGACTGTGATGTGGTAGAATTAATAAAATATTGCCTGTGTGACCCGTACAAAAACCAAACTGTTAGTCAGAGTTGCCAGTGCGTTGTCTTGTACTTCTGGATTCATCAGGTTACTAGGCTCCAAATGGAATTATCTATACAACAAGATGCCCTGTATCGCTCACCTGTATATGTTTAAAGTCCTTGATATGAGGTAGAGATATAGCACTCCATGGTAGTTACTGTATGTACATATAATTACATTCTGTATGCTTTGACCCATTGACCAAAATGAATTTCATTTTTGCATAACACAGATGACCTCATCACTGCGTATTGATACACTACAATGACGTAGTACAGGGGGTAGTTGGCGACCGGTAGACGATTGGAGAATTCAAAGCACTTAAAAAATGTTAAAAAATTCATTAACACGATTCATGGAATATATCCAGAAAGCTAATGTTGTTATGACCTCATGAATGTTGAAAAAATAAATTTCATTCCTTACATGAAATTTCAAGAAGATCCATCCAGGATTTCTGGAGATATAGCAAGAACAACTTCAAATGTCAAAATCCAAGATGGCGTCCTGGTGGCCATGTTGTTTGAATGAACACATCCTAATAGTAACAGGCTCTTCTAGATAACTTGATAGACAAAAATATGATAAAATCCCTTAATCCCTTACAGTAGAAAAAAGATTTTAAAGTTTTACCTCTGTTATCCCTATTGGGTCCCTCTCCTCTGCCCCTAGGGGGCCACGCGCACCGTTTATACAAATTAGAGTGCCCTTTGACATAAGGATGGTCCAGACCAAATTGGGATGAAATCCCTTAATCCTTATGGTAGAACAAGGATTTTAAATGTTAACCTCTATTTCCCCTATCAGCCCCAACCATCTGCCCCCAGGGGGACAACACCCACGTTTATAAAAAAACTTGACTGCCCTTGGCTCAAAGATGATCCAAACCAAATTGAGTTTAAAACCACTTCGCCGTTCAGGACTAGTATCGTTTTAAAGGAAAAATTGATGGATGGACGGATGACGGTGGATGCGCCATGGCATAAGCTCACTTGCCCTTCGGGCAGGTGAGCTAAATTGCATCAGTATTTTTTCTCATTTGAGACTATGTAAATCAATTAAATATTTAATAATAATTAAACAGGAAATAAGTAGTGTTTCCAACAGGAATCAAATCATCCCCCACCTCACCCTCCCAGCTATCCAGTCGGCCGTTCTTACAATGGTGCTAAAAGGAAGTAAGTTCCTTGTAGCAGGATGTAATTGAGAAGCGTAATAATGTTTTAAATGTTTAATACTACAACTTCCTTATATATAATATGTGTGTCCAAGGATTTATATTTATGTTTATGTAGTAGTGTTGTAGTAATGGTTGCGTTGTGCAGGACCTGTCTTTACTCCATTATAAAAACAAACTGAACCCTTATCATAGCATATCACCAAAACAATTGCTTCATGCACGCAAGCGTTTGCAGTTTAAATCTTGTAAACCTGTGGAGTAGAAGTCCCTGATCAAAGTGTCGAACCAAAAGCAGGACGATAAACAACGAAACGAAACCGGAAAACAAAATTATAAACTAAAAGATGAAACGGTATGCAATCTTTTATCCGGATTGCAGTAAATGTCGTTCTGAAGAAAGAAAATAGATACATCAATACATGTGGCTACATACTGTATGTACAATGACAATGGCATTTATAGTTTCCAATTGTGTTATTAAAAGTCTCAGTAGTAAGACCACAATGTTGAACTCCATTTGAAGTTGCATGTGAAATAGTTTGTTTTTCAATTATACAGTTCAGAAATAAACAAGAGGAGTGAACCATCAACAATCGTCAATACACAAACGACCAAACTGGACTGAAAAGTCGATTTAAATAAAAACAAAACGCATACACTAGGCGTGACGAAACTTGATCAAGACCAACCTAAATCAAAAGAATAGGAATAAGAAAGGATCCCGCACGGAGCAATAAAACAGTGAAGAACTATTGAAAAAAATCACTGATGTCTCGACGGGTGAGATATTACTGCATGTTGCATGTGTAGTTTCATGTATTACATTTTGTAAACGTTTCAAAAAATCCCATTGCATGTTTTGACGGGAGACATCGTGATGGTGTCACACTTGATGCAGTCCAATTTTAATATTAATAGTTTAATATTATTTAAGGAGGGAAGGAGGAGGCACAATCGGCGCCAGCGAAAATCAGAGAAAAGGAATTTGTTTGTATGTTGTATAATATTTTGAAAAAAAAAAGTACTCTAGTTACCATTGTACATCTCCTGTCCGTTGTCCTTGTTTAAGAAAGAATACGTACTATCGCAGTGTGCACAAGACCGTTGTTCGAACTCGAAATCTATCGAACCAGGGCAGAATATAATCAAAGAAAGTGTTATTTGTAGACCCCTGGGGAAGTTCATTGTACAATGATAATAAGAACATGTGTTCCGGAGGGTTAGCGTCTTCTGCTTCCGACGATCGGTCCAGTCCAGTTCCGCTACATTACAAACAAAACGTGTCAAGCGAAACATGTCCACAAAACTGATTTATAATAACTGTTATATACATACACAGATTACGCTAGATTTCGATAAGCCAGCCAACATATTCTGACGTTGCATAGTTACGAACGACTACGACTTCCGAGCTATTTCGTCTCAATGAATGAAAATATTGAGTCTTATTGGTAACACTAAGGGCTGATCTGCCCCTCTCATTGCAGTAATGGTTTGACAAACACATTTACAAATAAAATGATAAATAAAATATGTGAATTGAAAACTTTGCCTCAAATTTGCATTTCCTGGAATACTGTTTCGATTTGAAGGCTAAAATCGGTTGTTCTATGGTAAATTATTTAATCAATCATAACAAATTACTCAAATCGATACGAACGAAAAAAAATACATTTACCCTCCACTGAATATATATCTTTACAATAAAAATATAAATGTCCGTTGTTATTTTGACGTTTAATTTATTCGTTGGAAAATATTCAAATAATTCTACGCTATGTCCCTGTCTTTCTCATGAGAAATATATTCGTTTAAACTAAACTTCTAAAGAAGCTTCAAACAGATGGAACTTCCCATTTCTCTCGTTAATTCTGATAACAAATAGTAACATTTGATGTCAATGCTTCAGCAGATATTATTTTTTGCAGTTTGTAGTTCTACGTATTGAATAAAAGTCAGTTTTATGTATAACACTGGCCAACGTAAATATATTGCTCAGAGACTTTGCCTGTTATTGGTTATTTGACTCTTGAGCAGAATTGTGTCGCCCTGGTAAAAGGAAAAGAATAGGCATCTCAGTGACTGGTCGTATCCGGAGTAAAAAGTGTTTTTTTTTTTTTTTTTTTTTTTTTTAAATACACTTTCTTTTTTAAGTTTTTACCTTGTTTGGATAAGATCACTAGTATACATTGAAGCATTGATCTTGTCCGGGTACAGTGAAACCTATGATCATATTACTTTCAGATGATATTCATAGGCAATGTGAATGCAAACTGGACAGGCTTTTATCAATAAATGACAAATGAAGGCAATTCAGGGCTTAAAGTTACAGTGTACTGCTTTCAAAATAAATCTGGACTTGTTTCGTTTTGACAAGTAAACTAATTAATGTGCTTGCTGTTTGTCTTCAGATTATTTGTGCCTTTTCAGATTTTTGGTTGTAAAATTAAAATCAAGTTTGAGCGAGACACAGCTTACAGTAAGTATACCCCAGGGAAACCTGGTCTTCTGATGTGCATCATGTATGTCAATGGCATACCACTTAGTGTCAATTAATGTAGTTTGCTTATATACATTTGTACGCTGATGATACATTATTATCTATAGAAAGCTTGTTATTAATGTCATAATAATGCCCAAACATAGCCAAGAGTAATGGAAATCAGTTTTTGAGATGGATGAGGATTTCAAATGGCAAGATATTTATATGAATGCATTTAACTGTACAATGGAAACAAAATTACAAACTTTCCAATACAAAATCAATCATAGGATTCTACCAACTAATAAAGAGTTAGTAAAAATGAAATTAATAACAAATCAATTATGTACATTCTGTAACAGAGAAACAGAAACATTGGAACCCATTTTTACTCAATGCTATTATGCACAGAGATTATTGGATGATTTTAATGTTTGGTATACTGAGCATGATGATAGACAGCCCTGTATTGATTTTAAAGATATAGATATCCTTTTTGGAAATTCAAAGATTGGACTATTATTACACCATTTTCTGGTAATAATAAAACATCATATATACTGTAACCGCATTAAAGACTACATTCCAAATTTTGAAATGTGTAAGATTATTTTTGCACATACAATGAAAGTAGAGAAGTTTATTGCGATGAAAAGTAAATTTCTATTATCCTTTCAAAATAAATGGGGTCAATTTGAACAATATTTAATAATAACGACCTTAATTCATTATTATTTTAAATATTACTTACATGTTGTTGTTTTTTTAATAAAGGTTCTCTCCCCTTATTAGTTTGAAATGTTTGCTTCCCTCGCATGCTCATTAGTGATATATCCGGTGCCTAGCTGGCCAATCAGGGGGTTCCCCTCCTTCCTGCCTCATATGTGTCATGCCTCAGTACATTTATTAAGTATTATATTGTATCTCTATATAATATATTATATAACTATTTAAAAACCCTGTTTTAAGTAAGTCCGTCAGCAGTCGACACGTATCATAGAAGACATATAGTAATATTTGTCATATACCTTAGTTTATATAGTCACAGTATTACTATTATTATATTATATATATTATTATATCATATATATATTATGAAGGAGAAAACTTCAAAATGTATGAATAAATAGATGAAATGAGTGAATGAGTGTAAACAAAGAGATAATTAATGGAAATAATAAATGTACGAATGAATGTAAACAAGGAATAAATGTAAAAGGAAGGATGTTATGAAAAGAAATCGATGAAAGAATAAGTAAACAATTGAATGAATAATTAAACGACTGAATGAAAGGATGAATGAATGACAGCCCTCTTGCATGAGGACACTTTTTGTAAGGATATTTAATCAAGGGCCCCAACTCTGGCAGTATTCGAAAAATGGTGTAGGGTAATAAAAGAAAATGTATTGACATTGTCCTTAACCATCCCTGAAAACCCTGTTTTAAGTAAGTCCGTCAGCAGTCGACACGTATCATGGAAGACATTATAAGAGGAGTAATGCTTCTTATCAACATATCTACTTTAGTCACAATAACTTGCTACAATATAGACACAGGAGCATGTCAACTCACCTTGTCATATACCTTAGTATAGTCACAGTATTACTTACCAGGTGAAGTCACATATTTACGAACGTTCTTTAACTGAAGAAGATTTTTCACCTTAATTCTCATTGGTGAGCACTGCATGAGTTATGAAAACTTCCTTAGTTTTTTTCGTGGCAATGTTAACAAATGGTAAAGTTTGGGAACGAATTTGGGGTCTGTATGTATTACAGTATTTTATCAGACAATAAGCCCATGCCTGGTAATAAGCCCACCCGTAAAGTAGTAACCCCACTTTGTGCCCCCCCC